TCGCTCGGCTGGCCTGGGAACGCCTTGGGGTCCCCCCAGAAGAGCTAGAGGAAGTGTCGAGGGAGAGGGAAGTCTGGGTGTCCCTGCTCAGACTGTTGCCCCCGCGACCCGGCCCCGGATAAGCGGTTGAAGATGGATGGATGGATGGATGGAGTTATCCCTAAATTCTGATGTGGGTTAAAAATCCCTAGGCAGTAAACCCTAGAACGAAGTGGGTTTGAACTTTAACATTTTTATAAAATCAAGTACCGGTACACATACCTCCATATTATATATAAATATACTGTATATAAATATAATATACTTATAAATATTTAAACAGTTTTGTAATAACTTGTTTAACATGTCCACAAAGCGGGGCGTTCAGGTACCGTCGAACATTCCAGAACCCGACCATCAAGGCAGCGTATACCGATATAGACGTGGTGATATGAATATATTTATGTATTTATTTACCTGTTACGAACCACTGTATGAGCATGAGACTAATTAAATGAGCTGCACAATGCCTCCCTCTAGTGACTTTCACTGAAATATACAGCCGTTTTTCCCCCCCAAAATTTATTTTTGGAGCACACACATGGCTTGTGGCAAAACTCAGGCGCAGATTATTAACATAATATGCTAATATGAGTCGGGCGATGTTATTGGACATCCCTAATACTGATGCATTGTGGGTCACATGTTGGTTCCAGGCTGGTTGCCTTCGTGCTCTCTTCTACTGTCGGAAATTCAAATTAGATGTAAATGAAGATTTTTTTTTTTAGTGTTTGTCAATGACCACAGACTGGGCCAATCGCAGTCGGTGTGTGGGCCACTGGGTCACATCAGTCCCACTTATGATCAGTCTGAGGACGCCCGTTAATTGCTGAGTACCCCCTGGTGGCCTCTCCGTGCTGGTTCAATTTCACACGGCTACTGTTGGATGACGAATCTTTTATGGCCCGCTGTGATTGGTCCCCGTCGGACCCACTCTTTACGACTGGGTCGTTTTTGACCCATTTTAATATGAATATTTCCCATAATTCATGCTGACTTTATTTATTTTTACATTTTTTTAAATTGTGTTCATACGTCGTTTACAGTAGCCTGAAGCTAACTATTCTGCTAACCTTTTGCCCATTGGTGGATGAATGTTTGTGTCTTTTCTATTGGACGAAGGACTTTTTGATTTGACTTTTGTAAATTGCGATTCGTTTGAATGGACTTCAAACACAGACTGGTTTGGACCAGATCCAGAACATCGGTAAAGACCCCGGACGTCAACATCAGCTGACCACCATCAACCCGTGGCCCCTCCCACTGAGAAAAAAAAGACAAAATTCATTGTTTATATACAGACCAAAAACCCAACTGTATAGGACGGGGAACAACCTGTGGCTCCCGGTTCATGAACGGACCACGTAAACCTGACTGCCATCATTTAAGTAAATACAAACTTTTTTTTCCATTTCCTGGTGTGTTTGATTTGTTGGCGTGTGAGGTCACAGACCGCGGGCGTCGGTGCCTCGCTGCAGCGTCCGGATCTGGTTTAACGGTGTTGAAAAATACGATTTTGTTGGGTTTAATTTCACCCACAAATAAAGCGTGTCTTTCATCCAAAACCCTCTGGTCTCTGTGATAAAAACCCCGGAGTCGTGCGGCGGCTGCTGCTCTGCTGAAGGTCATGAATAATAAGCACTTGAACGCAGCAGGAGCTCCAGCTATTGTTTTTCTAACGTTAAAATCCCAATCTTTTCTTTTCTTTTCTTTTCCCCAATTTACACATAAAATAAGATGGAATTGTGTTGTACGGTTGTACGGAGAGGGACTCTGGTTCTGGTTCTGGTCCTGGTCCGGTCCAGTCCGGTCAGGT